GCGAAAACTTTTTGAAGAGAAACAACACTTAGAAAACGGCGAATCCAAGAATAAAAGTACAGGTGAGTACGTACATAGATAAAGAAAAGTATAAAGCCAAAGGTTAAAATAAAAACAAAAAACAAAATTTCGTAAAGATAAGTGAAGACCAAGGTAAATTTAAACACTTTTCTTATATAAGGGCAAAGGGGAAGGGGAATATGTATATGAAGAATATGATAAACATAAAAATAAAAACAAAGATAAATATAAAGATGACGATGAGGATACCGATAAAAGTATAGATGAAGATAGAGGAAGAAAGATTAAAATAAAGGTAGTTGTAGAGAAAAGGAAATAGATAGAGGCACAGAGACTCAATCTGGGAACTATTTCGGGATTTTGGAGATTTTCGGCATTCTCAGGACTTATCGATACAATACTCGATACTTTGTCGGTTTTGTGATCGATATTTTTATCGGTTTTGTTATCGATATTGTTATTGATTTTGCTGTCGATATTTTCGGAACTTATCGATGTACTGATCGATATTTTTATCGAAATTTTTATCAGTTTTGTTATCGATACATTTATCGATTTTGGTATCGATTCGCTATCGATTTTGGTATCGATATTTTTATAGATTTTGTTGTCGATATTTTAATCGATTTTGTCATCGATATTTTTATCGGTTTTATTATCGATACTTTTATTGACTGTTAACGATTTTCCTATCGATATTATTATCGCTTTTGTTATCGATATCTATTTTGTAATCGATTTTTCTAAACAGTTTGTAACTGATTTTGCCATCGATATTATCGATTTTGTTGACGATATATTTATCGATTTTGTTGTCGATATTTTTATCGATTTTGTCATTAGTATTTTTATCAGTTTTTTTACCGATATTTTTTTCGATTTTGCTATCGATATTGTTATCGCTTTTGTTATGGACGTTTTTATCGATTTTGTTATGGACTTTATAATCGATTTTGTTATCGATTTTGTAATCGACTTAGTTACCGATTTTGTTATTGATACTTTTATCGATTTTGTTTTCGATATTTTTATCGATTTTGCTATCGATATTGATATCGATATTTTCATAAATTTTTTTATCGATTTTGCTATCGATATTATTATCGCTTTTGTTATCGATATTTTTTTTTAGTGTGTGCTTTCGTTTTTGACATGGATAGATATGCTCTTAACCATACCACGTATTCTACGTTTAAATTTAGCGGCTGTATCGGACCAAGACGAAGGCGCTGGACTGTTCCTTTTATTTTATATTGAAATATGGCTTATATTTTAGCAAACCCCATTTAAATCCAAATATGAAGCTGTGTTCGAAAATTATGAAAAATCTGCAAACAAACTAAAAAAAA